GGAATTATTTGCCGAGGTGAACTGGAGTACAGTCATCTTCTGCTTTGAAATGCTGGCCTCAACACATGGTAACGCTTGCCCTCACAACTGTAGTGTTCAGTGTCTATTTTCAAAACCATTTTGTTTCAGGCTGTGGCCGCTCACACCGCAAGTAGCAGTAACAAAAGCAGTTTCACCACATTGGCAGGTAATGATGTTACCAGACAAACAGCCCTAAAGAACATTTATTTTTTTAAGGCTCATGAAATAATGGGATTTCAAGTGGACATAAGGACATTGAGGAAAATGTATGGAAATTGCATTGCCTTGAGAACGTTCCTCCACTCTTAACGACAACTCCTGCGTGTCAAGGTGCCTGAGATGAACGGCCGTTATCACAAGAACAGATGCAGCTGTCTGAGATAGCCCCAGACAGGGGCTCTCTTTAAAGCCAGGCGGACCAGTTGCTTCCTATAAGTGGAGTAGCAGTTTGCCTGGTGCTCACACAATGGTTGGTTTCACTTGGGCATTTTTCCCTGGCTCAAGTAGTCCTGAGAAGGCTCTAAGTCTCTGCTCTTTGTAATGAGATCCGTATCAGTGGGAAACGTGATCAGAGCCTAGGACAGGGGGAGAGGGGGCAGAGGGCGACGGGCCAGAGCAGAACAAAAAACAGTTTCTGAGACACTTCGCACTGCAAAGTGTAAACCCTCAGCTTCCCGGGAAGCTATAATGATTGGAGCTGAGCCAGCTCATCCCTAGCCTGTCACTTGTGATCACAGGAACATCTCGGGTAATGTTAGGACTTCCCCTCGCTGACTGACTTTAATATGTTAACTACAGACCACTCAGTAACTCACGTCTAATCACACATGACACTGAAACCAAACCAAGAGAAAGTAAGTGAACTTAATGGGGACACCTCGGGAGCAGAGAAAAATGAGGGTCCCAAGAACTGAAGCAGCTGCTGCCATGCAATTAAAAAATGGCAAGAAGCATGTGCCCTGGGTTCTTGTTTTACTTCTGTTTGCTGGGGTTGTTTACAGCTCTGCTTGGATAAATACATGGAAGCCAAGCTGTCCTCAAACATGCTGCAGATGTGATGTGCGCTCCAAAAAGAAGGCTCAGAGTTGCAATTCTGAAAGTGCTGCCTGTCTTGTATTTTTCCTTTCCTTGCTCTTCTTGTCATGAGGGATAAACAACAACCGGTACTTATGGTCTTGGGTTAGCCAAAAAAAAGAACCAAAAACTCAGATTTCAGATTTAACTCATAAAGCGATTCCAAATTGAAAACACTACAACTCCCAAGTTGAGTTGCACATTAGCAGGCTATGAATTAAACTGGCATTACATGTAAAATATCAAAAGAAATATTATTATTTAAAGTATTGATTATATGTTATATGAAAATGATTGTGAAGAAATCATAAGAAATCTACAGCTTGCCAGTTGATTCAACATTTGCTAATTTTAAAGTTCTGCCCTCCCTTGTCAATTCAGAGACCTTGAAATATCTCCATTTATTTCAAAGTGCAGGGTTAAAATTAATTGAGTGAACTGCTGCTTTTGGGAATAGAGAGGCGGGGAGATATCTGAATAAAAATCCATAAAGACAAACTGCAAGCGCAGGGGAACCCAACTGGTCTGAGCCTACTCGCTATGCTCATACTCATAATTCATAGCCTATTTGGGAGTGCTGTGTAAGATTGTATTGTTATTGTTCCCAGCAAGGAAGGGGATGGCAGGATTAATTTATTAGCTAGAGCAGCAGTGGTCTCCAAAGTAGGCAACAGGATCCAACACGCTGTAAATCTAGACAAGACATCAGATACTTTTCTTTATGTTATCTGGAGATACTCAGCAGCTCTGTGAGTATGACTGTCACCAAAACTAACTGAAGAAAAACAATGAATTCTTTATGGAGACTATATTCTCAATATACTCAAACTTTAACTTGAACAGTGGCGCTGGCTGATTTACTTCAAGAGCCTGTGTGAACCATGGCTGAATACATTACGTGCATTTTTAATGAGTTAGTGGGCTGTAATGGAATACTTGTACTTATTGGCACATTGGCACATAAGTGAAAAGGGAAATTCATATTAATTGATTTATGTTTCTTTCTCAATGCAATACTTTCAACTGAGACTTACAATATAAAATGAATAGCAAAGCAATAATAAATTAATCAAATATCTGGTGGCAGTCCATGTGCAACCAGAACAACTGCTAGCCTGTATTTCATGAAAACTAATAATTGAGGCATAGAAAATGTTTATAGTACTGGTTAAAGTAGACAAGCCAGCACTCTGAAAAATGACAAACTGAAACTTGGAACATCTTTGTAAGAATCTGGCCCATCACATGCGAATTTATTTGTTTCTGGTGTAGTTTTGTCCAAAGTAAGACCACGGATCAGCCTCCTGCCACAAAGGGCAACTCAGTGCCTGAAAGATTGAACTTCAAAGCTAGGGTCCAAAAGGTTCAGTAATTTGTAAATGAAATTCATTTTTATCATGTTGCAGAACGTTTTGAAGATAAGTAATGGGTCAGGCCTGAAAACTGTTAAAAACATGTCTTTCAACATGTTTTTTTTTTTAGACAAACATTTGATAAAAATGATAAAAGAAAGCGATACAAATGATAAAAAGATGATCTGACTGCTGATCCCAGCCATGTGTAACATTCTACTATTGCAATTTATTTTTATTATTTATCTAGATATTTCTTTAATTACTTTAACATTTAATGACTCTGTTTAAAAAAGCGCTACAAGGACTATTTTTTTTCAGTTCCCGACCGTTCCCTCCCATCCGTGATATGACAGCACTCATCTCTAAATAATCTTGAATAAAATCAACTGAAACCCCAAAATTCTTTTATGAATTTGTAGGCGCAGACAATCATTTCAACAAAGGTTACAGGCTACGAATATTATCTACGAATATGATACCATGGTAACATGTACACTGTCTAAAAGATCAAACAAAACGATATCTTCCATTTTATTTTTCAAACAACACATTGTTCTAGACACCTAATATCAAATGATGACAGAAGCTTGTAGGCACTGTCTAGACTAGGAGATGGACTGATCAAACATTATTAAAAAACAATTTAATATAAAAGAGTACTGGCAAGCTAATGTCTCATATGTGCAAGATCTTAAAGGATATATCACCGACAGCTGTGTAGTTTTGGAACAGGCGTATTTGTGAATCCTTAAGCTTTTGTTTGCGTGTGCCAGCTTTTCTCCACAGATCACCACTGTACTTGTGAAAGGGCTTGCAGCTGTGCTACATTACTCAGCCCTGAGACAAACAATAGCATTCTATAGATGTAATAAAAATCAAACATACATAAATTGACCCTAAATGCTACAAGAAATCAGAATAGTACTAATTTACCAGTCTTTGTTGCTTTTCATATCATACACTGTACGTCTTAATGGCCCCGGTATCTTGCATGTGTTTTAGTTACAGTCCTCTCTACAAACAATGAGCCTAACCTCAGGCCTCCCATCTAAAATTTATTTAAATATTTTCATACTTCTGCTTTGCTCGTCTTGGATCAATTGGAACTAGTTCACACAGGCTAAGCCTTACATCAAAATGAAAGAGCAATGTGGTCAGGCAATCGGAAAACCGTAAGTGTTCCTGGAGAACTCTGAGATAGCCGTGCTCAGTCACCTCTCCACCTACTGAAAATAATATAGGCCAACAATGAAGCACAAGAAGCTGTGCACACTAGGCAATGTCCCAATTCACATCACACAATTGTTAATACATTTCACGGGCTGCTTGAGTTATTCCGCCCATAGAGTGAGCAGGCGAGCATATGATTTAAATGAAACTCCAATACATAATACAGAGCTTGTGAAAAACATACAGAAGGAAGCTCTGAAGTGGAGTAACACAACCACAAGAGACAAACAAGTTGACAAATAAAAAAATGCTGGGCAACAGGCACTTTGTTGACCTCAGTGAGTAATCACAAGTGGCCCATTTGCTTGCAGTCACATTAGGGAGCTTTTAGCGACAACCGCAAACCTCTTGAAAAATGTCGGCTTTGACTAATTTAGTTTGAGTAATAAAGCAGCTATGACTATGCAAAAACCATGAAGTGGCTGTAATGCAGAAACACACTGCACAGATTTACCTCACTATATGAATTTAGGTTTGTACATAAAAAATATATTTATAAAGTAAAATATATAGATAAAATAATTATATGAAACTAATAGGTGTTTTCATTGTTACATTAAGTTGTACAGTTGTACATTAAGTTGTAGAACCACTGACTAGTGCTACAAATACATGTTTGAATAGAAGTGATAAACTAATAGAGTAAAATTCCTCATGAGTTTAAACCAGTAAAATTAAGCAAAATGAACACAACAAAAAATGCTCTATTGAAGCAAAAATGTGGTTAACACTACATAAAATAAAACTGACCCAGCTTCACTATAACTTCCATTATATTGCTATGTAGGCAAAAACACACCTGTTCTTCGTGGTTTTGGCCTATACTTTGAGGGATATAAAAACAACATTCTTAATAAATGCATTTTTTTCCTGTTTAAGTATACTTTTCTACTTTTAGGATTTTCTCCAAACGCAGATAATGTCTGCCTTTCTTACGCACCAAGTATCCCATGTACCAACTCGTAGGCAGTGTCTCGCACAGGCCTATTATAAAACGGCAGGATGCGAGCTGACGAGGTCAGCTGGGCCTAGGCCTTATAACCATTCTATTAATCTACTTCTTTCGTGAATTACTGTTTCAGTAAAGAAAACCGGTGCCTTCACGCCACTAACATGAGGGAAAAAAAGTTTTTCAACTTATCAAACGAGTGCATGAACATAAGGCTGAGGTGCCTTTGTATCTTTGCACCTGAGGTCTACTACACATGCCCAGTTTGGAAGTGGGATTGCACAATGTTGGAGCAAAGCATATCTACAAGTCTACCTCGTGTCAAAACTTGCACTAGCCGCAGCATGGCCAGGAAGAGTTACTTAACCTACTTGGGATTTTGGGAGTTCCAAATGATGGTGTCCAGGGACTTGGCTAACGGCAGCGTGAACTTGCATAAGACCACACAAATCCATACGTAGTATCTCCAGCAGCCGTCTGTAGCCATTTCTGTTCGAGTCGATGATCAGCTTGAGGGATTCTGCGCTTGACAAACGAGCAATTTCAGTTTAGAAGTGGATGCTTCGCCAAAGAGGAGCATGAGCAGCCCCGTGTATGATACATAGCAGCTACTTTCACAGCCTGTTTTCAAGAACGTGTCCTTGGTTGAACCTCAAAAAGGAGTGCGATGTCAGAAGCCTAGCGTTTTGTTCCACAACGAGCCAACGACAGCGCAGCCCGTGTTTATTTCAGCAGACCTGTAGCTTCAGATTTGAATACGTTTCTCCGACTTCGCCTTTTAATTCGCCCTGTGGCGAATTTTCGACAGCTAGTTTTGGAACAGGTACTGCAGGTCTAACAACAGAAAGACTAAAACAATCCTTGTCAGAGAAACGGGATTTCAAGCCGTCGCTGCAGAGCACGGCAGATGCCTCGTTCGTCCGTCCGTCCAAATAACTCCCCGCAACAACTCATTTTACGTACTGCAACTCGAAGTACTTCATCAAGGTGGGGGGCGTTCTCCTCTTGTCGTCTCGCAGCAATCCAATTCCAGGAGAAAAATGTTTGTTTTTGTCAGTAGTACGGCTTCCTCACGGTCATCTCCCCCTTGACACCAACGCGTGAGGGTCCGCTCGAAAAACTCTGGTTCCAGAGTGTTGACAACGGCCAGCAACCGCAGGTTCGTTTACTCAGAGGCTGACGAGAGGACGCCTGCAACTTCCATTTGCAATGCAGGGGGTGGAGGGGACGAAAAAATGAGTAGCGGCGACACGGCTCGCCTTCGTAGCCGCGGTGCTAGCGTTCCCAGTCAGCTTCGCGTTTACTGGGATGGGATCTGGCAGATTGCACCAGTCCCCGCACACAATTGCTACAGTAATCTGACACTCCAGCGGCGTGGCCCCGCCCCTCAGTTCACTCCAGCCAATCAAAGGCCAGGACAGCATCGGCGTTCTCCTCGCGCTGCGAACACGTTGAGTACATACAGACGAGCCACCGGTAGATCCAGAATTGACTTGCCACAGCGTAGAAAAAATATTTTATAACATTTATAAGGTAAATATTGTCATATTTTTATAAAGCAAAAATATAACAAATATATCTCAAAAGTTAGTTAAACGAATACAAATATTTAAATAAAATAGATTTAGTAACCTATTTTATACATTGAAAAGAAGAACTTTTTCTAGAGTCTATGCAGAGCCTCTTCAAGTGTGCTCTCTTCTAGTGTAAAGCATTTAGCATTATGCATATTCTGTCCATAGAACAGTAAGGGGTGTCCACTGCACTGTATAATTGTGTGGGTTCAATAAACACCAGCAACCCTACACACAAATCACCTCAGAGAAGAAGGGCTGGCTTAAGGTCAGTTATTCTGACCAAGATCTATACAGCAGGGGAGTCATCTGATCCTGGCACCCTGACATGCATTGTAGAGGCCTTGACAGTTTAGGTGATGAGTTGAATCAGGTGTGTTAGAGCTGGGAAAAGCACTAAATTGTGCAACACTGACTGGGGTCCCCAAAGCCTGGAGTAGCGCACTCCTGTATTAAAGAGCAGGGTAAGAACTGAACTATTCCAACAGTCCTACAAAGCAAAGGATTTTTATAGGAACCGGACACAACGTCTGTTTTTTGCCCTGTGGTGATCTGGCAGTATGAACAAATGTGAACAAACAAAAAAAGCACACATAAGTAGTGGGAATTTACAGAATTGTACAGTATTGACAGTATTGGGGATACAAGATAAGACAGGATTTATTGGTTTAAATTGTTTGTTTATTTTATTTTACTTTATTTTATTTATTGACTGCACAAAGAAACAAAGTTTTTAACAAGATAAACTAGTAGATTTTGACAAGATAGGTAAGAAGTGAATATGACCTTATTAGTTTTGGTGTCACAGAACAAAACAACAACAGCTTTAGCTGTTTAAAGGTGATTTTTAGTGGTATGATATGAAATTGTGCATTGTAAAGAAACTTACAGACTCAGATCTTCTTATGATTGTGGGGTTAGGAACCATTGGTAGCAAATATAGGCATTTTATTTACTATTCAAAATGACCAATGAACATACACATGTCTTCTGAGTTTTTATGTATAACATCAATAACGGTAAGACAGTCATAAACCTAGAATAAGGAAAACAAACATTTCCTTTGTGGACTTTTTCCCTGTAACACTCTGCATGTACCTGTCCACCATGAATGGCATTTAAATTACATATTAAGTCAAACCTTTATATTAAATAATATATTAAATTATATTAAAACAACTCAGAATGGCTGTTCACATACTATCCAAATAATTATGAAATTTTGAAAAAATGGTATAATTACCCTTAATTAAAGTTAATTAAAACTTAGTTAATTACAATGTATGTAAGTTTGCTTTCTTGATCCTTTATATTGAGTAATGTTCCATTTAGAGTAATTTTAAGAGAAGAGAAGCAGAACAAAACAAAATTGTCTAGTCCAAACAAGCTAAGTCAGGTTTGTAAGACATTCTTTTAGTATGAAGTACTGGTACTCAGGATTTTAACATTTTATTAATAGCACCCAGCTCCAGGTGATGATATGCAGCGAAAGCATGAAAGCATACAGGGCAGGCGGGGCTTGTAGAACTAAAGTTGGGATGCACTGGTGTAAGATTAAGTAAACACGCTATCTGTTGTGGAACACATGCTAACTCTGTGCTTTTTCTCATTTCTTTTCTTTCGTTTTTATATTATAAAGAAACACATTTTTTCAGTTTCTAATGACTTTTTACCTGCAAGCGGAGCTTCTGAGAAGCTGATTCAGAAGCAACTAGATGAGCTACAGTGATACATATAGATTAATGATGTTCATTTAATGCTTGCAAATGATTTATGGACATCATATAGTGATCATTTGGCTTAAATGAAACTTTGAAATCTTGCAGATAGCTCAAGTCTTGCAAAGGATTTCAATAGTGCTGAAAATAAGCTTTTTGTCTATAAGTGTTTGACACAACTCAATCATCATAGCCTAATGTTTTACAATGTAGATTAGAATGTCAAAAAGCCTTTTGCTTAATGTTTACAACTATTGATGATCTTCTCATTAAATTTAACTGTACAAGTCATAGTGTATCTTCAAGGTTAGTGTAAAGGTTTAAACATATTTTGCATCTGTTTCATGTGCAAGTTTTACAAAATACAGTAATTACATGCAAGATCCAGTCTACAAGCCTTTTGTCAACAGGCAACTTAAAATGCTAGTTTAAGATTGTTAATTAGCACAAACCCATAATATGTACAATGCACTAATTGTTAGTAACCCTCTATCCCATTTATCAGTGAAAATGGACCACCATAGGATTACCACTGACCATATATTATTTGGGTAGCAGAACATTCTCAGCAAGCAATGACAAATATGGTACTGGCATGTTAGTGAGTTACAATCAATAACTGTTTTTTTGGGCAAGAAATGTCATCTGGTACCAATTACAAATTTCACGACGTACAATGTCATCTTATGGATTACTAACAAAGTGCAATCTAATGTTACTGCTTTATTTGGTTTCATATTTATACAGTCCTAAAATACCCTCCCCCTTCTTTTTTCTACCAAAACCACATATTACTACTGTTGTCATTCATAGTGACATAGTAATACTGTGTAGTTTATGGGCACACTCAGTAAACCAAGAATTAATTCACTTTTTATTGACACTTGATTTATTGACATTGCCTAATCAAAAATATAATCCTTAAAAAAGTAATCAATAAAAAGTAACTGTAATCTGATTACACCTCTTTTAGGTAACCTACTCTGATCACAAGTACTTGATCAGATTACATGTTTGTAATCCAGATGACAAAGTCTGTTACTACCCAACACTGCCTACAAAATACATGATTTATCTGATAAAATGGCCAGTATGTGTAGACACACAGTAAATTGGCAACTCAGTTTATATGAACTGAAAATCAGCATATTTGGTGGTGGGGTTTGAGTTGTTGAGGTGATGAGATGTATAACAAGCATTCTCTCATAGTACTAACTCTGGACTCTTTCTTGTAGTTGATGTGTTATGTCGCCCCCTAGAGTTTATTGCGTAATTGATTATCATTGTCCAAAGAACAATGCAGTCTACCCAGCACATGATTAATAGTTGAACTATAGCGACAGACTGTTGCTTAAATGTAGATTAGGACAGCATTTTATCCATATTATCACACAACATTGCTTTATCTAGCAAATTCTGCAAACTCCATGGTCTAAAACATGATAAATGAACATGCAGGTACTGACATTGGTGTCCTGTGTTCAGTGCACTGCATTTAAGGCAAGACAGTACAGCTGAATAGAGTCTTTTTTAAGCAGTAGATATGACAATGAATCTTTGCCAGATGATTACTGATATTCTTTTTTTGTGTTTATAGCTCCCCCCCAAAACATAGGTATGCAAATGAGATGTCCCCTAATAAAAAATGCATACATTCACATATTTTCAACAACAAAAATGTAGTTTTTGGATGATGTTAGAATTGTTTTTTTAACTGTGAAGGCACACTCCAAAGAGCTGTTTACAGATTGCTGGACTCTCATTGATATATGGTTCAATCAAGAAAACAAATCAGGTTGTTTTGTAGTACTTAATCCATGCAGGGATCCTAGAAGCTTTAGAGAGGGCCTCAAAACTTCAATAGAGAGTGAGAACTCAGAACATGCACAGTTTGTGTGAAAGTTGTCATTAGTACAAAAGGAAAACATGTATTTGGACTTTCAAGTTAATTTCTACAGGTAATTAGCTTTTCAGTGAGATATGACATGACATGGTTATGCAAAGTGTTGGCCAAAGTTGCTAACTTTCAGAAATGCAGTTTGATTGTGGACATGAACTAAGTTTTTTTTGTTTGTGTTTTGTTTTTTGATTTTTTTTTTGTTTGTTTTTTTTACGCATTAAATATATAATCATGTGATACCCTCTGAAATCACTACATGTTGATGAATGTTTTTTAAGATTGAATTAATCTTTTTTGTACTGATGCATTGCATTATTCAAATAAATCTTGCAGGCCTTTAAAATCAAAGAGCAAAATTTAATTACCGTGTACTAACAAAAAAAATCAGAAATAACCATTAATAAAAATAAATCAGAAATAAATGTAACAGAAATTAACATTACTTAACAGTACCATCTTCTGCTCAATCTATTGAATCAAAGAATTACTTTCATGCATGATGGAGCGAGTCAGTTTCAAAGCATTTTTTGAACACGCACTGTGTTATAAAAGCAGAAGAATTCCTTAACGATTGACAACTGAAACTTTCTGATGGCACTTTTGAAAATGAAAATTGATGTTCTTTGTCTTCCAACCTCTAAACCTATTTCCTCCTATTCCTCACCACATAGGAAATACTGAACACGAATCACAAATAACCAAGGCTTCTATGACTTTCAAAAGCTAGGCATTATTTGCTAAACATTACAGAAAAGTTCACCTCCACAGGTTTGTTTTGCATCCTGGTCTGCACAAGGGAAATTCCACTGAAAAAAATTCAGCATAATTCAATCATTCAGATGCAAACAGTCATTCTTTTAGATGCAAACAGTCATTCAGAGTGGTTATTGTGAAATGCTGCACAGTAGAAAAACTTATTGACTCCAATTTCTTCATAGTGGTGGTGATAGCATCCAAGAGGCACAATGCCTATGACCCAAATATTTAAATTTCTACTTTTTTTATTTGAAACTACACAGGTCTTCAGTTTTACAGTCATATGCAAAAGTTTGGGCGCCCCTTGTCAACAAGTTTTGTTGATTTTCTAACTGAAAATAAGTAGACATGCTCTACAGAGAACACATCACTTAAATTGTTATGTCATTTA